TCACAGAGAACGCCGCTTGAAAACCCTCTAATATTACTGCGTGTGACGCGTTCCTCTGATGCGTGTGTATGGATTTAATTTATTTATAAAGTACAGTTTAAATACACCAGTACAAAACTACTAACAAAACAACAGAGTCCGTCATAGCTCAGAGAAATTCATCTATGATGAATGTTCGATAAACTGAACACAGGAGAGACCGTGGCTTATAACGTGCTCTTATGGCTTTGATAATGGCAGGAAACAATTCAGTGACTATAAAATCCTTGAAAGAGAAAACTATGCAACACTGTTCAATGCTTCACACAGTCACAGGCTAAGGGAGCAAACCGTTGTTATATACTGCCATATTCCGGCTATATAATAACCCTGACAGAGGAGACACGAGAGTGACGTACCGTGTCCAACTGCATCCCCCATTAGCATTAACGGATCCATTAAAAGCCGAAGATTCAAAAGTGTGCAGAGAAGTGATCAATCATTTTATAAGTCGCATGAGCGCAAGACAAACAAGACAGGAAGGACGTGTCTACCATTTCCTTTGTATAGTAAAATAGCCCTAACAGCATCCCCTGTGACCATTAGTAGCTTTAAAATAGGATCAAGTTGGGGGAAGAATCCGCCAGATCGAGACTGGCAATTATCGCCATTACAACCGGCACCAACATGGCGACTGCGCGCTACCGTGAGTTCGTTCTTGTAATGAATTAATGGCGGAGAAGAGGGAACGCAGGTATGAGCAAAGGGTTCCACCGACCTCAAGAATGAGAACGGGTTTATACACACACACACACACACAATACAGGCTATTGGCTACGTTCCATGCTTTCATGTAAATTCATCGATATGTCTGTCCACAAACGAGTATGACTGCGTACTAAACCACACACAATACATAATTTAAATTCAAATCACATTATACAAGAAATATCTTTTTCTTGGCACTACAGCCCCAGTGGGCCTAGGCCTACCTCCATGAACTTCTCCGTTCACTTCGGTTTTTCTAGATCTTACACATTAGGTAGGACTCCTTGGGCGGGTGATCAGCTCGTCGCAAGGCGTATGCCTGTACACAAACACAGAAAAACGCACACAAACATCCATGCCCTAAGTGGGATTCGAACACACGATGCCGGCTTCCGAGCGAACGAAGACAGTGCATGCCTTAGACCGCTCGGCTACCGTAACCGCCACAATAAATATTAACAGACATAAAATTAGTTTAAATAATAATCTTTTCCGGCGACAGCCCTCATGGCCAGTACAGTATAACAATTTACGCGAATTTTACGTAACAGAAACATGTTGAATTTACATGAAAGCATGTACAAGCGGCGATTTAAGCAATGACCTGTGAAGCTGCACTGAACACTGTATTGTGGTGTGAGTGTGCGCGTAAGTGATCAACTAATGCAGCAGGTTACTTGATTACAGTATGAGGAAAGCGAAGGTGAAGTTGTCCCTGTGATTAATTACTTAATTAAGCACTGTGCCATGGAGACTTAACACAGGATTGAGGTACACCTAGCCACTGGATGGAGGTTAGTGGTCAGCTAAGCCCCGGCCGCTTTAGCCCGTGAATATCGGCGCCGGGTACCCACTGGACAGGAAGCCGAGTGGGCCCCGAAGTCGGTCTGGACGCTGTGGAGAAAAGGAAAATTTTGCCATGCCGGGAATCGAACCCAGGCCGTCCAGCCGGTAGCCCATCGCTATACCGACTTCTGGAATATGGACTTACTCGCGGAAAAGGATTTATTTAGTTACTCCGTGCAATATGACGGGTGACCATGAACATATATAACAATCAATGATGGAATACGGAATGGATATGGAGTATATAGGAGCAGTGTTCTCTCAGGTATTTGGGATAATATGTCACACTGCTGCACCTCTTAAGAGCCAGTCGTACAGTAGGACACTGTCGCCTAAAAGGGCACCTTTTCAAACTGGGATTGACAGATGACTCAACTCGTGAACGGTGCCTTGAAGAAGAAGAATCAGCCACACACATCCTGTGTGATTGTGAGCCCTTAATTTATTTAAAATTTCGTGATCTTGGCCAGTTTTCTTATGGAATCAAGTGACTACTAAGACACTCTCCATAAACAAAGTCCTACATTTCATTCGAGGTGTAGGACTGATAAAGGGTAAACCAAAAAGAAGGGAAGCACAATAGATCACTGAAGGTCGCAGTTCAAGGGCCGGAGAGACCCACCCCTTATGCATTCATTCATAAGAGCCAGTGACTAACTTCATGGGACAGAAGCCTTCTTTCTTAAGTAACAGTGGCTCAGCAACGGAAGACGTTACCTTCACTTAACAGAAGCGAAACTTCATTATCACAGATAGGCAGTCACTGTTTGACATTATGAGCTCGAGTAATCCAGCCCACACCCGTACATCCGTTCTATATAGTTCATTTTAATATCATTCTTCCATCCACTCCTAGGTCTTCCGTGTAATCTCGCCATTAATGTACTGTGAACTAAAACTGTGCCCATTATCCACGTCACGCATGCGTGCTGCATGTCGTACCCATTTCATCTTACTTGGTTTTGAAGTGCTATTTCGGAAATCAAAGGAATATTTTTAAGAATGAGTCCTTTGTAAAAAGCATCATTCTCCTTAACACTTCATCAGTCACTTGCTGTTTACACAAACTTACAGACCCGCCTCTGGGCCTTCATTTTAGCGCCCGACAACCGAAGGCTTCCTTTCACAACATTCACACCTACTAAAAGAACAGTCTGAACTCTGCTCTTCACGCTTTCGGCGAGTCGGATAAAACGTCACGGACCTATCCGCTATTATCTCCTGAACAAACTGCAGTGTCAGCAAGGCGCCATTCTCACGTGAGAAAGCCGTCATGCATGTTTCAGCAGTGTATGTATAATGCTACATAACGACGATAGACGCGGACTGGAGACGAAATGGAATCCTCAACCAAGACGAAATAATTGTAGCAACCTACAGATGACCAAGACAAGGCCGCAGAAGACGGGAGCCCCAAAACGGGTGCACTGGTCATGAGACTTTCACCTAGCAACGGAGACTAACCTATAGGATTAGCGGCCTCCGTAGTCTAGAGGTAACGTTCCCACCTCATGACTCGTAGTACGCGGGTTCAAATACCCGGCGGAGGTCGTCGAATTTTTAAGGGCGGAAAAATTCAGGGAACAAGTCCTCCGGGAGGGACTTTAAGCCGTGGGTCCCGTGTCGTAGCTTTACGGCACGTAAAAGAACCTCATATCTCCAAAGGAGGTCACTGAGCCAAATTAACGGACGTTTCCCGCCCAACAGCAGTCTCTAATACCTCTGGTAGATGGGGGGAAGCATTATAGATACCTCTCAGCTAGTAGAGCCGGTCTCGCTGGCTGGGCGGGACTGATGGTAAGCACCAGTACCGGTAGGATATAGAGACTGGTAGAAATCATAGAGGGAAGCACAATGGACCAATACAGGTTTCAGTGCATGGGGAAACCCACCCTCTCCAATAACTAACTACTATAGGATTCTGACGATGGTGTATAACACATAGAGATACTGGGTTTTCGGACTTTATCCATCGTCCGGGTTTTAAGATAACTAAGAAAAACACAACGTTTCGGAAACTGGATCTGTTTCCGTCCTCAGGTGAGGGAAAACACCTATTCTGTTGTTTCCCTTAGAAAGAGCTAGCCTCAATCACTGGACCAGTGGCCGGAAGAGAAACTGGGAGGGTACCACCATCAGCACGGCAACAAGACTAAACTGAGAATCTGTCGTCTTCACTGTCTTGTTGGACCAATAAGGAAAGCGTGTGGGGGGACTCAATGTGAGATCCGTGGGGGGAAGTAATTAACGTTTCACCTACTTAAACACTTAATTCGCCTAACAAATGTATGAAATCAATAGTTTACCAGATGAAACATGCGGACAGACAGTGTATTCATTTCATGTACTTAACGCAAAGCAAAATTAAAACCAATGAAGCCTGCCACTTTGCTCTTAACATGTTAGCATTTTATACAGAAGGTCATGAGATGGCACAGCAGAGAAGCTAACAGTCTCTCAACTCGTCAAGAAGTACCCCGACAGTTCATTACGAAGGTTCAAAACAGTGGGCCACTGGTAACCACCAGTCAGATCCTGTCCACACCCGTACACTCTCCTCCTGACAACTTCAGCCTCCAAACCACGCCAAGATATCCTAAATACGCAGATGTTTCGACAAAAATGTATATCCAACTTCCATCCTTCCTGCGCATGCTCCGCGGAGCTCACCCTCCTCCGTAATGAGCGCCATTACATCTGACGAAAAGTACGAAGATCCTTGATATGCAATGTAGGGGGGTGTGGGGTGTTGGTTGCTGAACGCTGGGTCTTGTAGAACTTGACTGCCATCAGTATCCAGCAGAGTGCTATATGTTTTCACTCTCATAAACTATCCACGACGGAGAGTCAGTAAAAAGTCACAAATGGAAGTTAAAGAGCTGCAAAGGATGTAATAGGTTTTCTATGTGTACCACTAGGTAACAGCACAGTCTAGGTTCTTAACAGTGTAGGTAGCAGACGCGCATGCGTATGTGCAGAGGCTGGCTTCAGTAATCAAAATGGTGACCGTGCTTGAAGAGTGTACTGTTGTGCGATTTCTTTGGGCGAAAGGACTCAATACAAAGGACATTCATAAAGAAATATGTTCTGTTTACTGTGGGAAGTGTTTGTCGCGGTTCACAACTATGTGACAAACGTTTCGTTGATAAAAAATATTAAAAAAGAGGTGCGGAAGTGGCTCAGGCAACAGTCAAAAGACTGCGGGGTACTGGTAGAGCGATGGAACAAGTATCAATGTTGGTGGAGGATGTGTCAAGAGGTTCTAATATCACATTTTTATATTTTATATCCATTTGTGACCCATTTACTGACCCTCCTTCATAATTCAAGCTCTGAAAACGATGCAGAAATACACAGTTAAACATTCGCTTGTGGACGGTCACACGTCCAAGCAATGACCATGATGAATGTCGCTGCACTTACCGGCCACCTGGAGCGTGGCGTTGCGGCTGGTGGCGAGACCGGCCTGATTGCGCGCGACGCACCAATACACGCCGCCATCTTGCTCCTTCTTCCCGTGCATCACCCGCAAGAAGAAGAGCGACCCAGCCGGCAGCAAGACGCGATGCGACCTGGAATCCGAAGGTGAAGTACGCACCGGCTGTCCGTCTTTGAACCATTCGATTGTCGGCTCCGGCTTGCCCTCCGCTCTGCAGTTCAAGGTCACTGGTTCGTTTTTCGCTACTATCATGTCGGACGGGTGCTCCGTGATCCTCGGAGTTCGGTATTGACCTGTAAGCAAAACATAAGAGCTACAGTAACGGATGTACGAGTATTTCTAGTGATGAGAGCTAACTTCGGGAATATGTTTACAGAGCCGTTGCTTAGCAATGCCCATATGCGTGAGTATAACAATCTGGGTAGTAAAGCCGTGTAGCTCTGGAAGAAATGCACTGCTTCCACCATGAGATTCGAGGAGTAATCCAAACAAGAGGGAGAGACACTACCGAAACTACTGTACATGGCGTTACAACAGAGGAGATCGCAATCTTCACAGAACCTCAAATCCAACAAATTCTGTCTACTGCCCATACACCGCATCGCCTCTTGTGCGAAGACTTCGTTCTATATGTCTAAAGAAATGGGATAATTACGGGGGAATGTGCCTACTGTATTCAAGTTACAAGATTTATGCAAATATAATACGGAAAAAACTTTACGGCCACTATAAAACAAATTAGACGCACAATAAAAAGAATTCAGGCGAGGATGACAATATCTACGTGGGCTACTTCAAAAGTCATTGCAACATAATTTTTCAGAAATTTCGAAAGCTCCGACCGGAATTTCCAAATTTGCCGCTGAGAGATAGCAACGTCTGATGCCACTATATGATGCGGAAGTCCAAGGACAACCAAACGAGTCCAACGAGTCCAGCGCGAAGTCAATGTAGCCCCATTTAATATGCATTTTCGAGTTCCCCCCGGACAAGATTCGCCTTTTCCACGAGGAAGAAAACATTAACACATACTACGGAAGATAGAAGGATAATCTTGAAGGCAGCAGAAAATCAATGGGCGGGCCGCATGTGCCATCAGTTGGACGTCCCTGCTCAAAAGGACAGTGACATATTATTATTATTGGAGGGGGTGGGTTTCCCCATGCACCGCGACCAGTGACATAACTCATGCAGTGATTATGATCAGTTCTTTCTAATAGACGCTGTTGAGCAGATTCTTCCTCATTAACCCCGAAGATAGAAACAGATCAGTTTCAGAAACGATGTGTTCTTACAAAGCACTGGTTCTGAAACACGGCAATCAAACTGTATTACAGTGTCCACTTTTGCCGCAAGAAAACCGTGTAAGTAACAGCACCGTTTCGCGGCACAGTGCAATCCGGAGGGCTACCAGCACACATCCACCCGCCCATAGAGAAGACAGACTCAACGCGACTCAACGACACGCGGGAAACTTCACGCAAGCGCACTGCATACTGACAGCTGTTTTGCAATTTACTGAGGCTGAGATTTTCTTTCAAAGTTTCCTTTAAAGAATTCCCGTTCAAATTTCCACGGGATTTACAGCAGTTTGCTTTTGAAATAAGAGCAGTCGGGAGGGAAAAGCTTGGCGCTCGGGAACAGTTGCTCATCATTTGTCATCGAGGAAAGGGTGGCATTTAAGTGAGGACAAAGGGGCGGGGACAGATGTGACGTACGGCCGCCAGTCTGCAAGCCTACAGCTCCCATCGCTCATCTGAACGTCATCACAGCTTCACTAGCTTCTTCCGCTTGCGATGGTCTCTCAGCTGCTCACTTCCATTACAACTAATTAAATATATCAATGACTCTGGAGTAGGCCCTAAATATAATTACAGAAGTAATTTCATTGGTTTTCTTCACTTTTTGCAGAAACTGTACAGCTGTACTAGTATGAACATGTTTAAAACACAAGGCCTGACCTGGTTTCGGCTCTGAGCTCAGGTTTTGTGGGATTTGTGGTGGACGAACTGTAACCAGAGCGTGTTTTGTCTGCGTACTTCAATTTCCCCCTGCCAATTCTCATTCCGCCGGTCACGGTAGCCGAGCGGTCTAAGTCATGTACTGTCTTCGCTCGCTTGGAAACCGGGATCGTGTGCGTTTTCCTGTGTTTGTGTACATGTAGAGGCCTTGCGGCGAGCTGGTCACCCGCCCAAGGAGTCTTACCGAATGTGTAAGATCTAGAAAAACCGAAGTGAACGGAGAAGTTCATGGAGGTAGGCCTAGGCCCACTGGGGCTGTAGTGCCAAGGGGAAAAAAAATCTCATTTCACCAATTCACCATATTCGCTGCTCAACCTATCTCTATACTGATGACAGTGTCATTAAGTAAAAGAAAATCGACTGGGCTCGAAGCCCATAAAAATTTTGGACGTGGTGTTCTGTTTGTTCAAGACCACTTCTTCTGTGATTCTGGCTGGTTGCTTACAAATGCTCCTTAGTTGCGCGGGGTGTCTAAATGCAAGCTTGGGGAACAAGACAGACGCACAACCGATTTATCATCCCCTCCTCGTAGCTGCAACTGCTTGCTGACAAGGAACTATATGCATTTTCTATCTATCTATGGCTTTAGAGTCTTTTGTTGGACCTTCGCCGCGTTTTCAGTTTCTTAAACATGTACACAGTCGGTAGGACTCCTCGAACGGGAGATCAGCCCGTCGCAACGCCGCTACCTACACAAGAAAACACAAACGCAGAATAAACGCACACATATCTAAGTCTTCCATGGGAGACGAGAGAGTGAAGACATGCCTTAGTCCGTGCGGTTACCGTGATCGGCACTGTAAGCATTTGTATCAATGAAAGCAATGGTATAAACATTCAGTAACAAAATAATAATTAAACATGAATGCATAAAATAATAAGTGGAAAACAAAACTGATATAGGACATGTATATATTTACGGGGCCGGTCACGGTAGCCGAGCGGTCTAAGGCATGTACTGTCTTCGTTCGCTTGGAAACCTGGATCGTGGGTTCGGATCCCACTCAGGGCAGGGATGTTTAGTTTGTGTGTGCGCGTTTTTCTGTGTTTGTGTACAGGTAGAGGCCTTGCGACAAGCTGATCACCCGCCCAAGGAGTCCTACCGAATGTGTAAGATCTAGAAAAACCGAAGTGAACGGAGTTCATGGAGGTAGGCCTAGGCCCACTGGGGCTGTAGTGCCAAGGGAAAAAAGAAGTCATCATAACAAAATAATTAAAATGGGTGTACAGAATTGGTCATGAAAGATATGAAATACATAATTCCTATGGGAAGGAGTCGATCTCCAATTTTCTCTAAGAGTCAGGCTTCTGCTAAAGGTAGCCCCTTGTTAACTGTTCTAAGGCTTTAGCAGAGCTAAATGTCTGAACAAACATAGCAACAGGAAGAATAGGTAGCCCTTACATAACTGAGGCTTCAGAAACCTCACACGCACAAATACGGTTGAATGCACCACATCCAACAGCAGAACGACGCAGCATGTAACAACAACACAACTCTATTCGTGCGTACTATACATGGTATATATATTTGATATCGCCGTACGCAATAAATTCATGGATGCAATCTTACCGGTACCACAAACCAGCCGTGCGACAAAGTCCCCCAGCTACCGAAACATAAAACTGCAGATATCCAGAGTCCGTGGCCCGTAGTCCGCAAGCAAACTATAGCGACGGAGCGACCGCCGCTTGTCGGCGAAGTTAGTGGCAGACTGTGGTCTAGTGGTCAGAGTTCCTGGCTACAGATCCACAGAGGTCCCAGGTCCAAGTTACATTGATATCCAGAGAACCTGCCTTTGTTGTGCTTGCTCTCGAGATGAAGATACCTTGATATCCAACGGCCGTGTCATCATAGCTCAGGTGGTTAGTCGCCGGCTTTCCACCGCGGCGGCCCGGGTTCAAGACCAGGTCACTTCATGTGGAATTTGTGGACAAAGTGGCAATTAGGACATGTTCCGCATTCATGATCATCTATTATTCGGGGCTTGTACAATACATCAATTAATGGCCGACGTACCAAGTGAACTCAATCAGACCCCACCCCAAGGAATTAAAAAAAACTACCTTCATATCGTGAGAATCTGTCTTTGTTGTGCTTTTCGCCGAGATAATCTTCAAGGCTGTCGGAACAAATTCTGTGGAACTCCCAGTATCAGAACCTGACAAGCGTTGCTTCCAGACTTCAGATTTAACTCGAGCATGTTGTAGTCTTTGTGCAACCCACCCCGCCTCCTTACACCGTACATTCCGGTTAAATTTAGCTGAGATGTACAAGAATGCAAGCCTCAATTTTCAAAGAAAACATTTTAACAAACCTGAAACGTTATTTTATTTCTTCCAGAGAATAAAACCCAAAGCGAAGCAGTATATGCTTCTCGTATGTGCCGTTACTTAAATAAGATGGATGTTGTACATATCGTAGTTCCGGTTGAGTTGCTTTGGAACCCGTTCAAAATACGCACACTTCGTCTTCTGTAAATACTGGAAGCATGTGTCATAGTTGAGGTCTAATAGGCGGCACCAAGCAACACAATGTAACGTGTTTGGGCGACTGAGACGCGGTTCGGATTGGTAATTGGAATTATTAGATCTTCAATAGTCGTAACTACAATTAATTATTACACTATTCGGGGTTTACACCATTTACACTCACTACACGACAATATTCTCATTTAATCTGCAGTAGTTTTCACGTAGTTCCTCAACGTCTCACAACTGTATGGGCCTCAATGGTCTGTTACAGGGATAGCTTGTTGTTTCAGTGTACGTTTTCACGCTGAACTTTACAAACCAGGAATCATTTCACGTGTATATGTAGCCTGTATGTGCTAAATTTTTCCTTATATAATTATAATAATATATTAGACGTAGTGACAAAAATGAAGCTATTTATTGCGAAATTTTCTGCACACTCCTACCGTGTACACTTTCTAAAGCCAGAATATCATAGTTTTACAAAGAATTATTAGCAAGATGCAAGTTATTTTGCATCTGTAGCACAAGGACAGATACGAGATGATGCACATTTGTGTTAAGTTAAGAAGTTACATTGGTGGCCAATAATTGAAGCAAAAAACAAAATGGTCAGTCGGTCGGTCGATTTGCTGGTGGCCTTCGCAAGCATAGTCATTCCTGCATTCAGTCTCCTGCACAGAAGTGTAAGTAGTAGACAGGAATATCGTCCCTATGAAACTTGGGATGCGATACAATTTCCGTGGAAACTCTGCAAACATCAATCGTATGAGACCATTCATAGGGCAGCAAAGTGAAAT